TATAAGTAACGTCTTGAATGAGTCCTTGGGCGCCATCTTTGTGCGTTTTGATGTGGATTGCGTTATCGGAATTGACAACGGTGCAGTCTTTGAAAGTGATATTGCGAGCCACATTATCGTTATATGACGTCTTACTCATACCAATGGACAGACTGAGCCCGTGTCCACCAGAGCAGTAGATATTTTGAAAATGCATGTCACTTCCACGATTCACAACTAAACAGTCATCTTGATTTTTCACAACGGAATTTCTTATTGTTATATCAGTTCCCACAACGTCGAAACCATCGGTATTGTGACCCAAGTTGTTCTGGAAAATGTTTTGAAGGTTAGTAATTATAATAAATATACAGAGAAAGACATCGTCATTATCCGGATGAGGCATGAAGAGAGCACACTTAACTAAAACCATCAGTGTGTTGGGTGTAAATTCCAATTATTCCAATAATCGTATTTTATGCAGCAGATTTTTCGGATATTTTCGAAGCAGAATTAGCAAATGAATCACCAAATGTCAGTATATTAGGCCAAGACACTGTGTCTACAAATTTTGTTTTGAAAAAATATTTGAGTAAGTGATTTTTTGTTGACTGTCTCAAGAAAAAGATTCAGTATAGGTAGTTCATTTAAAAAAAATTGAACAGATATCTAACTCACTTTATCTCCAGCAGAGACATCGATATTCCAGCCAACCAGTGAGAGATGCGATCCAAGAACAGAGGCACATCGTTCAGGACAATTCAGTAAATGGATGTTGTTGAAATCTCCGCTTCCAATAATTTGAATGAGAACTGGTTTTTTAGATCCACTCCCTCCTTTACCATCCCAATATTTAGCACCCTGCCCATCTAATTTCGAACCTTAAAAAAAACTTATTGTGTGACTTTCAATTCAGATGAGCCATGAGACCTTGCCACTAAGTATGATCAGTATTAATAATCAAATACAAACAACTATCAGTTGAATGAATCACTCTTATATTCATGCATACAGTTAGTTATCATCATATATTTGAGACGACGACATAGCTCCTTTGTTCGTGAAAAAAAATAGGAAAGGAGAAAAATTAAACGATATATTATTGTACATACATTCTGTTCACCTAGAAAGAAATATTAAAGTTATTTTAATCACCCTGTAACTCACGGGAAATTCCACAAAAATTATTCACATACTTCACTTTTTCCCCAGTGCTTCTTGCAGTTTAGCGCGATGAAGATTCATGAAAACGTTTTCAAAGATCACATTGATTCAGAAATGTAACTGATCATATGCCACTTTGTAAAAACTTTCGTTGGATCGATATCAATCGATGGTCCACATCAGCCACGAGCTTGACCGATACTCGCGCAACGGTCGACCGATGTTGCGAGTGTGAACGACACATTTCTAACAATGGTCAAAACAGATCGTCAACACATGACTCAATGCGCCTGAATGGAAGCAAAAGCCAAAAACAAAGACACAGGGAGATAGAGAGGTCGTCAGCACTTATCATCGTAATTTCGTGAAACGAGTCTCAAAATTTATGATCTACAGCAGGTTGCTTTTATGAACAACAGGAAGGAACGGCCATGGAAAACTCCTTGTCCCCCTACCTGGCAGACCTGTTCATGAGCAGATTCGAAATGGAAACCAAAGGAAAGTCGAAGTATTTTCCTAGTATATGGCTAAGGTATGTGGATGATATTTTCGCGATATTCGATACAAAAAAATCGAATATTGAGGACTTTGTTTCCTTTTTATATAATAGATGTCCATCAACAAAATTCACGTATGAGTTAGAAAATAAGGGACAACTACCATTTCTTGACGTTTTGGTAATGAGGAGCCAATATGGAGGGTTAGAATACGATATATTTAAAAAAGAAACAAGCACGTACTAGTATATTCCTGACAGTTCACACCACTGTGGACAGCACAAACGTACTGGGTTGAATTTTTTAGTGCATCGTCTTTTGACTTTCCCTCTAACACATGAGAGGTTCACAAAAAAAAACCTACAATATAGGAAATAGCAGGCACTAACGGTTTTTCGAGGGGTATTGTAGATGACATAATTAGGAAGAAGAAGTTTAAGTTAAGACAGAACGAAATCTAGACTTTCAGAAAGGACAAAAACCAAGATAAATACATCTCAGTTCCATACCACCAATACACGAAGAACTTTGGAAAGGTTTCCAAAAAACTAGGTATGGAGGTGTTTTATAAAACAAGTCATACACTTCAAAGCCTTTTGGGAACTACAAAAGACAAAGTCGAAAATTCGAAAAAGTCTGAAATTTACGAAATTGAATGTAAGGACTGCGTTGCAAAATATTATGGACAGACAAAAATATCTATTAAGGTAAGATATAAAGAACACCTAGCACACTTAAAATATGGAAGACCTGAAAAATCAGCAGTCACCCATCATATTTTGCAACTAAACTGTTCCATAGATTTCAGTTCATTAAGATTAGTTAGACAAGTTAACAATAACAGGCAACTAGATGCCTATGAGAGTGTAGAAATAAGTAAACATAATAATATTATGAATAACGATGGTGAACCAATACCTAATGTTATACTATACAGGGTGTATCATAAGTACGTTAAAATATTCAAATGACGCATTTCTGAGACAATTTTAAGGAAAAAAGTCTATATGAACTTGTGTCCGAAAATGCTTCGTTTCGTAGATACGGGGTGTTGAAATTGCTTTTACTTTAACGATGACGGACCATTATCAAAAAGCACACTATATAGCTTGTTAAAATAATATTATTGGGTTTCCTGACTATTATATAAGGACAAATTATATAAATTTAAATAGGCAATATTGAAGGCGAATATGAACATATGGATTTACATTACACTATATCGATGATGGAAATAACACAAACTTGGTGTGAATCTTGTGACAGACCTCTGACAAATTTTCGCCGTTTAGATGCATGCATTATTTGTAACAATGTCCCTCCACAATGAAATGTTATAATGAATATCATTAAATTCATTATTGTTGTTGTTATTTCAATAATGAACCTATTGATGGAGAAGAAAAGTCCTTCTTAAAAAATATGATTGACACAATATATATGATGAACTATATATGAAGTATATTGTTAAGACATCCAAGTTTTTATCAGTGAGTTGATTTCGAATATATCTTTCAATGATTCGTGGGGGAAGAGATAACATAGAGTAAATAGCTATGATAATCCAATTCTCAAACATTTTTATTACCAGTTGACTAGTTTAGTGATCCAATAATTTTTCTGAGAAAAGGGGTTGGTTGGGTAACAGGATGAATTGAAAAAATAATTATTGTATTCTAGCCGACATTTCGAATATAATTGAATTCGTGTTGATGATATTGATATTTTAAAACCAATCAGAGATAGTAGATACATATTTAAAAAATAAAAAACATTGCAACAACAACTTTTCGAGACAACAGTAACACAAAACGAAATGAAACAAACAAATGGCTTTATCTTTATAATCATCATTCATGTTTGACATTGAATTTTGTATTGAACTTACTTAATTTTTTTCTATCATCTATAAGTGATAGATATGAGTAATCAGTTTTCAATGAAATAATGTCTTAGGTTGAACATTGCCCCAAACCACGCAGTATTCCGTATGTACCAAGCAAATTATGTACACTCCGAGTACACTAGCGTAACCTAACCATTCTGATCATCTATTTCAGGATCTGGAGAATCAGCTATCACAATGATTTCTGGGGGGGACGGCGAATCGATTTTGTTCAATTCCTTCATCCAAATACGGTTCCATAAGGTCAGGGCTGGGTGAATCCCGAAAGATTGGAAAAAATGCATTCATTACACCAAAGTCGGCGTCGGAATTATTTGGGTCGTCAAATTGACCGTATTCGTCAGCGTCGAATTCGAAACCACGGTCCTCATCCAAATCAATTGTGGTATCTGAATACACATCAAAGTTGTTGTCCACACCCGTTGAATTGATAATTTCAACTTGAATGTCTTCATAAGCTGAATCTTCAGAAGGAACGAAATATGGTTCACTCGTTGAATCGGCTTCTTGCACAACCGGTGTTACTTGATTCATGATGAGGGAACAAGTGGTCTGTTACTTGCAGTGTGAAGCTGAAAACCTCCAAATCTTTCGACATTGACAATGAATGACATCACAAATCCTTGGGATATTTTGTGTCATATGACCTCGATATATGAACACAACTTTGTGTGTCTCATTACCTTGTATTATGATTACGTCATATAATCTCAGACATGACGTTTTGAACCTTCAATCATTCGAGTTTAACATTGAATGACATCACAAGTCGCTGAGATATTTATATCTCATATGACCTTGTGTTATGAAATGTCATATACCCTCCGACATGGAGTTTTGGCCTTGGTTTTACTATCTCATACGACCTTGTGTTATGAAATGTCATATACCCTCTGACATGGAGTTTTAACCCTAACGATTGACTTTGTTTTCGACAGATAACTTTTGAATGTAATGAATGATAATCTCATTCTGTTTTCTGAAAAATAACCATTGATTTGTCTTCATCTGAGTCATCCATCTCAATATAGGATGTAGAATTTTTTTTGATCTGTGGCATTGACGACATTTAATAATCAATGCTACAATCATTTTAATTTTTTCAGAGATTGAAAATAACTTTCTAATTGTTACTTTTATATATTTTTTAAATAATCAGATTTGCACTTTTAGTTATGAGTAGAAAGTAACATACATAAATATTATTTGTTTTTTAGAAATAAAAATGACTAATCATTATTTTCCTTATTTATTTTTCAAAATATAAAATATACTTTTTTACATATAAATAGAAATTGCATTACATAACTTTATTTTGTTTTTTTTTAAACTAAATGATTAACTGATACATTCATTATTCATTTTTTCAAATATGAATAATCAATTTTACACTTTTAAATATGACTAGAAAGTGACACTCACATATAACTTTATTAGCAACATACAAAAAAAAATATTTACAAAATATTTATTGGGGGAGATTTCTCGACACGATTGCTCTGAATAATACAGATATGAAAATAATATAGAAAATATTATGATACATGAATTGCAAATGTATAGGGAAAGATAAAAATTTTTACAAGAGATGTAAGATGGAATTTTCATGTATCTCCTTACTGAAGATTTCCAATTGTCGAATTTTGGGAGAAAGTTTTTTCATGTGAGCAGATCTCTCTCGTTGAGCTGCTCTCATTTGTTCACATTCCACTTTGAGGAGAGAAACTTGCTCTTCCAATTCAACAAGTTTTTCCCTCTTCGCTCTATATTCCGTTTCGAATCCATTGTAAACGTGATACATCTCTAAAAATTTGTCTCTCCTGGATCTCATAAATGAAAACCAATCGTCTCATTTTTCGAGGTCAATCGTTGGGGGCGGTGTGCTTCCCGGGCTAACATCCTCGTATTCAGGAACCTGTGGAGTAAAAGGATATGATGAACTAACATCTTGTCGCATTTGAGTAATGATAATTACCTGTTGGAGTGATATAGAAGGTCCTGCTATGACTTCCATCTCTCTCACTTTTATCGGCTTGTCTTTATCCCTTTTTTCATGTTTCATCTTGTTCCTCCTTCTAGATGGCGACTTCAAGCTAGACTTTTCAGACTTCTTCGCCTTCTTCATTATCTTTTCTTCACTCTCCCTTTTTTTTTTTCTTTTACGTCTCTCAAGGTCATTAACCGAACTGTTCTGATTGATTGAACTATGTGGGGATCCCATATTCTTCGAATACGTTTCCTCCATCTCTAATATATTACTCACAACAGTTTGTGATAAGTTCGGAAGTGACTCATCAAGATTCTGGGTGTGAGTCGCCATCACATTATCAAAGTTTGAGGGATTGTCATTCAACTCCACATGGTTTGAATTGAATCCATTTTAAAAAGATTTAGCATTGTGCATCTGCTGAATGGAAGTCATCACCGGTTGTGGTATCTCCCTGCCTTCCTGAATGATCACGTTCTGGTGGACAATTACATCCCTACGCTCCACTTCACACATTTCTGATCGGTTCACAGAGCTTGATGGTTTCAATAAAGCTTCTTTCAACAAAGACATGGTTCTGAAATCATAAGAAATTATGGACAATATAATATGATTAAATTCAATTAGCTAACAAAAACAGCTTTTATTTTTCCTTTTCATCACCTTGATACAAAACAGTGGAAATCTGAAACAAAAATTACATTCAAATCAATTACTTTCATATGAACACTGAATCACACAAAAAAATACTTCATAGAATAACAAAAAAATTGTTCTTTACCAAAATTAATTTCATTTTAAAATATAACCTTTTCAGTTTGATATGAATAATATAGTAGGTTGTACTTACATCGAGATGAATTTTCAGCTGCTAAGATTTGAAGGCGTTGATGGAGTTGCTTCACCTGGCTGCTTTATTGAACTGAAAGGATGGAATCAATTTCAAAAAAGAATTCCATATAACATCATCAAAATCTCAATATCCTTTTAAAAACCTTAAAAATTGTTTCACACTTTTCAAGGTTGTATTACGTTGACATGAAAACAACTACTTTCATAGAAAAAAATGAATTACATGAAAAAAAACTCTGAACAAATAATTTTATATAAACACCGAATTATACAAAAAAAAATTGTAGAAACTGAAAAGAAGGAATCAATTTCAGAAAAGAATTTCATATAACATCGTCACATCTCAACTTCCTTTCAAAAACATTCAAATTTTGTTCAGAATATTCAAGGTTATATTTCGTATAAATAAAAAGTCTTTCGAAAACGTCTACTTTCATGAAAATCAGTTGATTTACACAAAAAAAAAAAAACATTCGGAACAGATAATTTTATATGAACACTGAATTGAATACAAATTAGAAATTCAAAAAACTAAACACTCCTAAAAATATAACCCTTTCAATTCGAAATGAATAATATAGTACACTGTACTTACATTAAGATAACTTCAACTGCTAAGAATCGACGATGAATATTGGGTTGCTTGAGTCAACTATATCACTTGACTTGACTGTGTCACTGCAAGTTAGTTTGATGGGTGAGAGATACTCCAACAGAATGATGTATTGTCCCTTCTGATTCTGTTCTGGTGTTTGGAAAGGTCGGCCCTTTCTGGTGGGGGGTTGAATTCGAGTCTTATGATTTGTCCCAACGATACAAAAATAAAAATGAAAGAAAAGGGTAGTAAGAGTTTATTGTTGGTAGAAACTAATTTGAGATTTTACATTTGTCCAGAGTGCAGCGTCATATAATCACAAAATTGTTAGAATTCCGTCTTTATCAACCTATAAAACTTCCCGAATGTCCCAATGGACATTTCGACGGTTTCTACCTCAAATATGCCAATGCACTTCTGAACGTGCTAATGGATTTTACGGTTAAGGTTTCCTACCCGAATTTTTTCTTCAAATAAATCAAACAACCTCTTGCATCCCTTCAATAAAATAATATTGTCTAGACACACTATAAAAGTTCCTGAATGTCCTAATGGACTCTTCGAGGGTTTCTATCTCAAATATGCCAATGCACTTCTGAACGTGCTAATGGATTTTACGGTCGAGGTTTCCAACCCGAAATTTTTACTTCAAATAACCAAACATCCTTTGGCATCCCTGCAATAAAATAATGAGATAGACTAGACTACAACACCATATATTCATGAAATATTTTCTCTCCAAAATAAACCAAACAACCTTTTGCATCCCTTCAATGAAAGAATGAAATTGTCTAGACATCAGCAGCATATAATGATAAAATATTTTTTCTCCAAATAACCAGACATCTTCTCGCTTCCCTTCAATAAAAATAATGAAATTGTCTAGACTTCAGAGACATATAATCATAAATTTTCGTTTGAATATCGATATTTTCTACCCACAAAGTTACAAAACTTAGATACTAAACATCCTTCTTTCCCAAAAATGCCGAATACGCGCAATTGTCAGTTTTGGAATGAAATATAATCATTGATTTTTTTTGTGAATCATATACTCGCGCTAAACTAATTGTGACCCAATCACTTATGAAAAGGAAATCTTAATTCTAATTTATTGTGACACCAAAAACGATTTGATCGATTATTTTCGTCAAGTATGAATTTTCCAAATTGTTAAAAGCAAAAATTAGATTTATAAAATTGCTCCTCCAATAATGCAATAAGGAGATCTAGGTTTTCATCGATGGTATTGTTGGAATTTTTCATTACTTCCAAAAGAATTCTCAGATTCNGGCATGTATTGACATTTGACAGATGCAGTCTTATGAGTCTAGTGTTTACAGTGTCCTTCTTCAACCAATAGATAGTTCAGCTAGTGACTCATAGATGACTCTGTGTGTTCTATAACTCAATTTTCAAACTGGCAACGCTACATTACTCCGTAAACATTGATTTATTGTACAACTGGCAACACCTGCTTGCACTAGCAAGCGGTAAAACCTCGTTCTCCATCGATTTCGTCACACGTGTCTCTCGCTCTTACACACACATACACATCTTTACATGAAATATTCCCAAATCTAAGTATATTTTCCTATCTTCAACTTGATAATGACGATTACATTCTACGGAAATCAAAAATAAAAATGCTGTTAAGTATAATGAATGAGTCAATTTCAGTCCCGACAAAACTAACGCTATAAACGAAGAGTCGCGAGAGGGCTTGAGCGGTGGAGTACTGAGGGGGCCGAGTTCCATGCTTGAATCGCTACGATACTCGTTCTATCCTGCGTTGATGACGTCACACGGTTCCCTCACACCTGGTTGAACCAAAAATTGCAGAAAGTTCAGCTCCGTAAGAAAATACATGGGATTTTGCGCCAGAATCGGTGTTGTTCATCTACTTGCCACCTGCATCTCGCGTATATTTGCGTGCAGCTTTTAGCGCAATTTCAGTTGCTCTTTCAGAATTTTTGACAACAAATTCACTTCCTCCCGCTTTGTGTAAAACATCGCGCACTTTCTTAACGATACCAGATCCCA